AAGTGCACAAAAGTGAAATGCATCAGTATACTGTAGACAGTTTATCAGTGCAGAATGCAATGTCGAGTACAGTGTATGAATGTCGTGAGCAGTCTATCGGTGCAGAATGCAGTGTGTGAGTACAGTGTATGAATGCCGTGAGCAGTTTATCAGTGCAGAATGCAGTATATCAGTGCAGTGTGAGAATGCCGTCAGCAGTTTATCAGTACAGAGTACGGTGCAGAATGCAGTGTATGCAGTGTGTCAGATACTGTGAGATCAGTGGATCAGGTGTCATGCCGTGCATCAGATTATGCGAATCAGTATATAAATGGTTTGAGGCCAGTGTCAGAAGGACATACTGGTATGCTGTAGAGGGCTAGGAGATCGAATGTCCGCTGAAGCATCCCCATCATCGAGGCATTCATCGCCAACGACTGACGGGTATACCCAGAAGAAGCCTGCAAAAGTATCAGATGCATCAATATTCTGTGGAATATCAAGTAAACTGAAATGAATAATTGTACAAAATGCAGTAGAACATACCAGAGGTAAGTCGGGGACGTCAATGAACTCGTGATCAGCCGGTGGAGGGGCGAAGGGGATTTGATAGGCCGACCCACCCTGCCCCTGGAAAGTCAGTACAGTGGGCAGGGCAGGCCAGCCAGCTCCCCGTCCTCCCTGCACTCCACCCCTGCCACGGACTCGGGCCCTCCTCGCAGCCCCTACTCCAACTCCCGCTCCGGTCCCAGCTGCCGATGCCACAGGCCTGGCCCCCTCTGCTCGACGGCCGCTCAGGGGGCGCATCAGATATGTCTGCACATACTCCCGGTAGTCACCGGTGCCTCGGAAGCGGGCCTCCTCCCAGCCGATGGAGTAATCATCCAGCTGCTCAGTGGTGAGCCTCTCGGTCTCCCTCATATCTGCAGGAGGGGGAACCGGGACTATCTGCTCAGGTAACCCAAGGGTCTGGCGTAGAAAACGCTCCCCCAGGTACCAAGCCCGACAGACCGGGCCCTCAAGCAAAATTCGGAAACGCGAGGTCTCCTCCGCACCAGGGAACCGACCCCGCATCACCGCCGGCATAGGAGCCCATGGCCGCCATGTGATCTGAAAGTGACAGACAGTTTGTTATCTACTGCTATTGAAATATGCAATGGAAAAGCGAAGCTTAAATGAACCGAAAGTAACACATACCTCCGTGGGGGTGATGGTGTCGAAGTATCGGCGGAAGAAGCCGAATGTCTCCCGCGGCCGCCGGGTGCATCTCCCGTCGAAACGACTCGAAAAGGGGACGGCCAGGGGAGTCTCCGCAACTGGCACGGGGGCAAGCCTAGGAAAGTAGGCGTAAACCCACAACTGCAAAACAGATGTCAGTATGACCATCAGATAAAGCAGAATAAGCAGAATAAAACAGAAATGGCAGAGCCGTGTGTTGTGCAGTGTATTGTGTGCAGTGTATAGTGTGAGCAGTGTACAGTCAGTGTAAAGCAGAATGTATGTGTGTGCCGTGTGTACAGTATACAGCAAGTGTAAAACAGACTACAGTGTGTGCAGTATACAGAGTACAGAAAGTACGAGACAGAAATGAAAAAAGCGGAGAACAAGTGTACGTCCCAAGCCCGCCAGTAGCCTCCGAGTAGCTGGCTGCTGCCGCGCGAAGCCGAGCTCATATATCCATAAAGGGTGGCCAGAGCAGCGCCGCCCCAGTCATAGTGCAGAATGTCCCGGACGTCCACCAGTGCGCTGAGAAGACAGAGAGGCACGGTGTTCGCCCGATCGGCGAAGATGGTAGTCCCAAAAAGGAACATGAGGATGCTGCGAGCATACCTCTCCACGTCCTCCGGGGTCATCTCCGCCTCCTCCTCCAACGCAGGCTGGACTCGAAACTGGACCTCGAACCAGGAGTATCGGACGAAACCTGGGCGAGCTAGGGGTGGCGCCTCCCTCAGTAGATGGACCTGAGCTGCGGTCCACTCATCCATCGCGATGTCAAATGGGATCGGATCACCCCCCACCCCGATGCCTGTGAGCATCGAGAAATCATGAGGAGTCATCGTCATATCCCCTGCAGCAGAGAAATGAAAAGAATCGGTGGTGTCCCACCATCTCTCCGCCAGAGCGGCAAGAAGAGGCCTGCATGTGGACAACCTGGAGAGCCCTCGGCAGAAGGTGCCGAAGCCCGCCCGGTCCACGATGCGTTGGACCGCATCAGGGAGCTCATCATACCACTCCCGTGCACCAGTATTCCCATACCCGCGAATGGTATGGGAACCCTCCTGTAAACAGAAAATAACAATTGCAAGACAACATTCAAAATGCAGTTTTGAAAGAACAGATATAGCATGTATGCAAGTTTGTCAGATTCAGGCAAATACCGGGTGCCGGTGTGCTTACAGTGAAATACGTGAGATGTGTCAGCGTGTTTGGATGTTTCAGAGCAGATATAGCATGTATGTAAGTTTGTCAGATTCAGACAAATACTGGTTGCCAGTGTGTATGCAGTAGAATACAGTGAGTGCAGTGTGTTTGAGTGATTCAGGGCTAATGCAGTGTGTGTGCATGTGTCAGTCTCAAGCAGTAAAGCAGAAGACAAAGAGTTACCTCGGAAGTGCCGAATGAAAGGTGGGAGGTAGGCTCACGCAGCAGTAGCTTAGGCGCCACGTGCCTCTCGAAGCTCCGGAACTGACGCAGGCCGTCGGGGGGCAGAACATGGATCGCCGGCCGGTAGGTCGCCGGGTCGAACGGGCGCTCGCTCAGTGGTAGGAGCTCGACCCCGGGATCCATCTCGTGGTCCGGGGGAGTCCCGCCACATGGAACATCGTCCGCCATATCGAAAATGATGAGAAAATGGCCGGGGGAAGGAAAACCAGGCCGGAATACGAAGAGTCAACCGGAAAGTCGACTCCCGAGAGGGTCGGGAATGGCCGGGAAGGCCAGAATGTGAAAAGGCACAGGAATGAAGAGGAAAACGAGGGGAACAAACCTCGAAAAGGTGGGAACGCCAAACGAGGCACCGAAACAAAAATGTGATCGGTTGAAAATGTCCGAAACACGAAGGAAATCGCGAATCCGACGACGAAACGGGCGTAGAACGCGAAGAAACGGGTCAAAAGGGAGAGAGAAACGCGCTAGAGAGAGAGAGCAAGAGATTTCGGCGGAGGAGGAATGAGAAAATAGGGTTTAAAACCCTATTTTAAAACACCCAAGGTGAAAAGTCAAAACTGCCCCGCATCAGCAACTTTTTGCCGGTCGGCAATGTTTTGTGCTGGCCGGCACTTTTTTGTGCCGATGGACTTATTTTGATGCCGGCGGCCAGCCGGTGGCCTCCCCTTTCGGCCGGTGGGGTTCCCACAGCCTTGTTTAGGCCATATGAGAAGTCTTTAGTCTTCATAGCTCAAGAAAGTGCAAGAAAGTGCATCTCCGTTGCTCAACCGGCCTCCGTTTTGACTTCGGACTGCATCTGCCATGCGTAGCACTCCAACCCATGCAGGGTGTATCCTTTTCGTATCCTTTTGACTTTTACAAGATCCAAAAGTTGTCCCATGTATATCGCATATCAATCGCACTGTTTTGTGCCTTTCAAAATTGTTCGCGCTGTTCTGCGCATCGCACTGTTTTGTGCATTTCAAACCGTCGCACTGTTTTGTGCATTTCAAACTGTCGCACTGTTTTGTGCATTTCAAAATTGTTCGCGCTGTGTTGCGTGTCGCATTGTTTTGTGCATTTCAAAATTGTTCGCGCTGTTCTGCGCATCGCACTGTTTTGTGCATTTCAAACCGTCGCACTGTTTTGTGCATTTCAAACTGTCGCACTGTTTTGTGCATTTCAAATTGTCGCGCTGTTTTGTGCATTGTATTTCAATCGCGCTGTTTTGCGCATCGCACTGTTTTGTGCACCTCACTTGCATCTTGCATGTATCCATTCGCGCTATCTTGCGTATCTCGCTTGTACTTGTTAGTACATTGCATTGTTTTGAGTGCAAACCGGCTTCGCGTAGCGTATAAGTCCAACTTTTAAAACCGGCTTCGCGTAGCGTATAAGTCCAACTTTCAAAACCGGCTTCGCGTAGCGTGTAAGTCCACTTGTATTATTTTTGCATCTTATGAGGCACACGTATCTCATTTGTTTCATTTTGCATTCCGTGTGGCATGTGTGTCACACTTACATTTTCCGCACGGTCTGGCGAGACCTTAAACACGCACGGTCTATGAGACCTTAAATCCTTGGAAGGTGCAAGACCTTTAATGCATTGGTGTGCACACTATTGCTTTGTACATGTCTTAAGTCGCGTGTTGTCGCGCATTCCATGCAACATGCATTACTTGCATCATGTGCATCCCAAAAAAAAACAAACAATCATAGTGCATTGTCATGCATTTCCATTGTAGCTTGCATGCATCCATTGCATTTTTCCCAGTAGTGGCATCGCTATTGCATTGTCATGCACATTTGTAAATATCCGTTCCATTGCATATTTGTAGATATCGCATCGTAGATTGCATGCATTCATTGCATCACCTTCCGCCTATGGCTTGCGCCTTTCTAGGTTGAGCTTGGTCTAGTATGTGCCCTTACTTTTCATGTTAAAACACAGTTCTGCATGTGTATCGCGCCGATTCCACGCTGATATGTTGGTTGAGGGTTGCGGCACCTTTTCTGTGTTACACATGGCCTGTATGCATACATACCTTTCCTAGGCAAGATTTGGTTTGGCCTGCGTGCCATATTCATGTATTACATTGTAGTGTAATTTTTGCATCCGGCATTAGGATCGTAGTCCTTTCTCCAGCGGGTCGTTTCCCCACTTATGTCAATTCCACCCAATACTTGTTCTTGCGTCTGTCTACAATGCTCACAGTTCAGTTGACCGTTCTGTGGTAGACAGACTTGTTATCTCCATCAATTCTATTTGACATAGGTGTGGTTTCGAACCGCTCGTGATTGGATCACGACTCAATTGCTTTGCATGTAGCTTGCATTGTTTCAAATACATTGCATCTGCAGCATTTCCATTCCATGCATTGTCATGCATTCCGGAATACGTGCGTTGTTGCGCATGTAAGCTCGTTTACATTCCGTGTGGCATGCGTGTCACACT